GATTTCTCCCTTGCTGTTCTTGTGATACTGAGTGAGTTCCCACAAGATCTGATGGTTTTAAAGTGTGGCACTTCCCCCTTCATTTCTCTCTCTCTCTGGCTGCCATGTAAGATGGGCCTTGATTCCCCTTCCGCTTCTCCCACAATTGTAAGTTTCCTGAGGCCTCCCCATGCATGCTAAACTATGAGTCAGTTAAACCCCTTTTCTTTACTCAGCCTCAGGTAGTTCTTTAAAACTGTGAAAACGGACTATTACACTGATCTTTATGCATGCGATGGTCCTCATCAGGAATCTACCATCTCTCAGTCCAAGATAGAGCAGCAGTCAGACACATGGTTCCCCAAAGTCCAGGAGCATGCAGCAGAGGCTGTTTAAAGGACTCCTCTAGGACAAAGAAGCCATTGGATTCAGGCAGTCTCTAGAGGGATGCTTTGGAAGTGTGGGGTCACGTCTGACCATGCTCTCTACTGGCCCCATAAAAGCCAAGCACAGGGAAGATCTCAAGTGCGTGCTGACTGCAAAGTGAATGAGCCCTGATTAGAGTGCTGAACTTCAAAAGAAATAAAAGAGTAACCAAAAGGTAACGTTAAATCATATCCTCTCAGCTGTCTTTCCTGACAGCGTCATGACCTGCCCTCTCCAAGTATTCTGTTCTCCTGTAGCCAAGCTTCCGAGCGTTACTCTTGGACCATCCACAGATCACCACACTCGTTCTCTTTCATCCACATCCCTGAACAGCTGTGAATGGAGGTCAGCTGCCGAAGTGGACCTGGACAAAGTCTCTCCAGCAACACTGACTTCTTGGTGACTCATTTACTTGTGCCCACAGACCACCCATGTGGCCACCCCTCCCTTTTTCTCTGTTTTCTCTCCTTTAAGCAGTTTAGGTTTTAAATTCCTGGACGTCTGCCCTATTTCTCTGCTTCCCTTCACATCAGGTTCCTAGAAGAGCTATGAATATCAGCAGGGTGACCCTCCCGAATGCCAGAACATTCCTCATGTTCCTGGATCCTCGCCAGCCTACCTTTTGCCCCCTGCACTCCACATGACCCAGAATTAACAAAGTCCTCAAGAACCTTGGAGCTACTAAGCAAAAACGCACTTCTCTTCACTGTGTTTGCTAGCTCGTAGCTTGTAAGCACACAGCTGCACAGCGTCCTGATTAAAGCATCCCAACAGGAAGGAAGAAGACAAGATAAGCAGGCAAATGATAACCTGTTTCTCATCCTGCTTCCAAGATCAGCTCTTAAACCTCACCATCCACTTCATTCTCTGCATCAAAGGGGTTCCTCTGTTTTTCTTCTCTGTCCATTATGCCTTTCCCTTTATATCCAACCCCGGACAAAGCCATCCATGACCATATTCATCCACATGCCTATATATCTATGGATCATCCACTCTATATATAATTTGGAATAGATCTATTCCAAATATTTTTCCTCCTCTGGCCCTTAGTTATGCCTTAGTTGTTAACATATAGCCAAGAGGTGTCTGACCATCTACAAGCCTGCCCATGCCAACCTGTTATTCACACTGGAAATATCACCTTTCTTTGAGGATGTCCCTGTATTCCAGAATGACAAGCACAAGCAACATGAAATCGCTTGCAGGAGGAATTGACCAGCAACGGCCTCCGATGCCTGACCACAGATCACTAGAACTGTGGTCCCTCTCTAACCTTCGTCACCCTTCAGTTAGATTATGAGCCTTTGACTGGCTGGGATGATAGCAACGTGCTCCTGGAGCAGTTTAGTTTAACTATCTTAACCAAATACTAAAGGGCCAGATGGGATTGGATTACTGGTTTCCAAGGCTTGGAAAACAGCCAGTGACCCAACCTTCAAGCAATGCTGTCTACCAATAACTACCAGGAAAGGATCAAGCAAGCTCCTTGAGAGCCAAGACTCGGTGGCTGTCATTTCTGTGTTCCCAAGGATGCAAGGCTGCAGAGCCCAGCACAGAGAAGGCACAGACCCTTGACACTGTCCTTGCTTCCTGGGGTCAGTTTCACAAACAGATATAAGTGCCCAGAGGGTTCTCAAGCAACTATTTGGACCAGATGGAAACTTCCAGATAAAATTTGGATGAAGCAAAGAAGGAGAAGCAGGCATCAGGGTGGAAGAAGAGGAGAAATGATGTATGTGTAGCGGATTCTCACTATTCACAGTAGTTCTTGTCTATGATGTCATCGCGGACACTGGATTAGTCAATATTGAACCATCGCTCTTGGAGGAAACACAAGGTAAGATTTCTGCAAGCCTCTGGTCACAAAATTTTCATCAGCCGATCAACACACAACCTTGGCTTATGTGACTCTTCTGTTTAATGATATCTTGTTCAATAGATATTGTCAATGCATTAACATCGAACAAACAGGCAGCAGTGCTGTTGCCTGCGGGAAGCTTGTCTGCACACACGGTTTCTCTGTAAGGCACACCATGGTTTTGCACTTAGGAACACCAGACAATGGCGCGGCACCACTCTTGGGGACCATTTTAAACAGCAAAGTCGACAACAAAAATCACGAAAAGGCAAAAACCAGGACAGCTTTTTTCATCAGACTGAAAAAGGGTTTTTTAAAGGCCTTTTTTGCATGTTATCTCATCAATCCTCAGGTGAATGCTATGTACTGGAGGGGGTGGATATCAATACATGCACGCTGTTAGATATCAGTACATGCACGCCGTTAAATATCAATACATGCACGCCGTTAGATATCAGTACATGCACGCCGTTAGATATCAGTACATGCACGCCGTTAGATATCAGTACACGCACGCCGTTAGATATCAATACACGCACGCCATTAGATATCAGTACACGCACGCCGTTAGATATCAGTACATGCACGCCATGCACACCGTTAGATATCAATACACGCATGCCGTTAGATATCGGTACACGCACGCCGTTAGATATCAGTACATGCACGCCGTTAGATATCAGTACACGCACGCCGTTAGATATCAGTACATGCACGCCATTAGATATCAGTACATGCACGCCATGCACACCATTAGATATCAATACACGCATGCCGTTAGATATCGGTACACGCACGCCGTTAGATATCAGTACACGCACGCCGTTAGATATCAGTACACGCACGCCGTTAGATATCAGTACACGCACGCCGTTAGATATCAGTACACGCACGCCGTTAGATATCAGTACACACATGCCGTTAGATATCAGTACATGCACGCCATGCACACCGTTACATATCAATACACGCACGCCATTAGATATCAGTACACGCACGCCGTTAGATATCAGTACATGCACGCCGTTAGATATCAGTACACGCACGCCGTTAGATATCAGTACATGCACGCCGTTAGATATCAGTACACGCACGCCGTTAGATATCAGTACATGCACGCCATTAGATATCAGTACACACACGCCGTTAGATATCAGTACACGCACGCCGTTAGATATCAGTACATGCACGCCATGCACACCGTTAGATATCAATACATGCATGCTGTTAGATATCAATACATGCACGCTGTTAGATATCAATACATGCATGCCATTAGTTGAGTTAACTAAAGCCTAGAGATGTCAAGACATCCACTGGAGCAAGGACATCCCATAAGTTACTGCCATGGCCAGCACCTGAGGCCACAGCTTTCTGATGGGTTTCATGGTAGGAAGCAGGCCCTAAGGTGTGCATTAGATTCCCCTCTCATTAGCACTCAAGGCAGTGCCCCCGAGTCCCAGGACCTGGCAGGAAAGGGTCCAGGTGTCACCTGGGACACAGCCAGGGCTCTAGAAGGCCCACTCTGCAGGATGTGTGGACCTCAAACCCGAGCACTGGCAAAAAAGAACTGAGAGCCAGCGATGCTTCTGGTCTGGCTCCCGAGCTGGGGAGTAGGCTGACTGGAAGCCAAGCAGGCAGCCAGCGCCAGGCCAAACAGGCAATTAGCACCCACAGAAACCCCGTTGCCCAGCAATTGCTCAAGACCATGAAACTCTGGGCCTGCTGGTTCCTGGGGCAGAGGGCAGGTGAATCTGGAGGTTGTGTTGACACAGAGCCCCCAAGCCCCTGAGTGAGAGTCCCACAAAAGCACCTGGACTTGAATTCGCTGTGCCCCCCAAGGCCAGGAGAGTGCTCCGGTTTAGACAACAGGCAAGCCAAGCTCCGCACCCCCGTCTGGACTTGATTTTCGCTCTCCTTCTTTGATGGTTAGAGGCCTGCCATACCCACCTCCAGTGTAGACAGCGAGGCAGAAGCTCTGTTTTGGCTGCATTCTTGCAGGCTACTCTCTCTCCAATACATGCCAGATGCTAATTTCTCACAATTCCCAGTTCCTTCTCCAACCCATCCCTTTCCCACCCTCCCACCCTGGTCTTGGATGGGAACCTTCTGTGGCTTTCCAGTGCTTTTCTCACACCGTCCACACCTGTAAGCCTGAGCTCACGTAAGGGGAGCATGCTGGTAGAGAAACTAACCCTGATCAAACAGGAATGCAGGTACATTCCTGACACGGCCTGGGTGTTCCAAGGTTGGCTTTCGGTCCAGGGACAAACAAGCCCTGGGTGAAGATATGGGCACAGATCGTGATGACCCGACAAGAGGTGCCATTTCCCTTGTTCCAAGGAGCAGTTTGGATTGGATGGGAAGGCAAGCTCTGGAGCCAAGCTCTTGGGCTTTCCTCAGAGGCATGCCTGTCTTAGCTGGGCAAGCTGTGATCATCCACAGGGAGGAGGTTCACTCTGGAAGGACAGACACATGGGTCGCAGGGGTAATGGAAAGATAGAGACCCATACAGCAACCTCAGGAAAGCCATTTCCAAGTGAGTCAGAGGACACATCTGGAGCTGAGGGGAGGGGAAGAAGATACCACTCAGAGCCTCTTGCTCCTGCGGCTGTGAGCACCACGTTTCATGGACTTTGTAAGGAAGGAGACGTGGAAAATGCAGGAGCTCCATTCATGGAAACGCCTTGGCTCCTTTCCCTCCTTTCCCTGGGGAGGGCCTGGGAGGAAGCCTCACCTGAAGAAGCCTTTGCAGCCTTCACAGGTCATAGCGTTGAAGTGGAAGCCCGTGGCTCGGTCTCCACACACGCCACAGATCCGGGGCACGTTCCGGTCAAAGTCTCCAGGGTCAGGCAGGGAAGTGCTGGCTGCCATTGCCTCCATCCCTGTAAGAACAGCAAACAGGCCATGGCCAGATCCAGAGTCAGTGCCAGGGCCAGCTGCCATCCTTGGTGCCACCTGCCCCACAGCATCATCCAACCGCCCCCACCCTCTACCACCAGGGAGCTCAGCAAGGGTGGGCAGGTCCCCAGGGCCCAGGCCTGAGCACAGTGCCTTTGGAGCCCTCATATATGGTTCTCCCTACACAGCTGGCTTACAGCACGGCTTGGAATCAGCTGCCTGGTTTCAGACGCTATATCTGCTGGGCTAATTTGGGTTTGGTGGTTCACCTCTGTATGCTCCCACTGTCTGCACTGGAAGAGGCACTTTCCTTCCAGGGTGTAAGGATCATATGAATGAGCCCATGATGCTGCTGGCACCAGCTGTGCCTCAAGCACAGGCCTGAACCAGGTCAGGGGCTTCTATCCTGCCCAACACCCCCTCCAAGGGAAAGTGAGAGTCCTCCTGCAGCCCCAGTACCTCACATGTGGAGAGAAACCCTCAGGTCTCCTCCTCTTGAGGGTGAGGGGAATTGAGGATTCAGGTACCCAGGCCTGGTCATTCCAGCCCCAGCTCCTCATGGCCGTAAAGCTCAGAACTAACAGGCTTATGCCCCTAGTGTTCTCGTACGAAGATGACCAAAATTTCAAGGTACTTTCCCCCACTTTTTTTTTTGTGATAATACTTAAAACATTATTTTGAATGCCCTTCTGAGTCACGTGAGTCCCACGCCATTAACTGTGTGTTCAGAGATAGTTTCTATAAATAGGCATTATTGTCTAGAGGTGGATTTCACACTTGAGGAAAAGGAGAAGAGACGGAGGGAATAGAAGGCACAGCTTTGGGAAAGGCTTCTCAGGAAGCAGGGGCTTGGCTCTTCCATCAGCCGAGACTGCGTGCTCGGCTTTGCCTGCTGAGTCTGATGCCACCTACGGCCAGGCTCAGAGACGACTCGGATCCCTCAGACTGCCCTAAAATGCTTTCAGACCCTCCCGCCTCCCAGTTCCCCTAATTTTATCTGAATCCTTGCAAGGGTCATTACAGGTTTAAGTTACCCCTTTGACCCAAGGCAAAGGGCCCTTCATGTCAGAAGGAAAATAAGAGATAACGCCCGGAAAAAGAGGGGACAAGAGCCCACCGCACCCCAGGGCACCATTTCCTCCTGCCCTGGGTGTCAGAGGCAGATTCTGCGGGCTCCTGGGTGGCTCTGAGACACTTCTCAATGACTAGGCCCATAATCCCTGAGGCAGGGTTTGGAGTATGAAAGCCCGTCTCACTCCATCTTCGTACCAGTCCACGACGCAGGGGCCATCGTCACCGTCCCCTTTACAAACGAGGCCCAGAGAAGCCCAAACACTAAGACATCTCTAGAAACTACTACTGCAAAATGATTTTTAAACATTTCTTTAAAATTTCTCAAAGAGCTTCATGCCAAGGGAAAAAAGTGGTGCAGAAAAGCAGGAATATGATATTGTCAGTCCCAAAGGGACAGCGGGAGTCCCGGTCACAGACAGACCCCGGAGACTCCCTAACCTCACTTAGCTTTTCTTTTCCCGAAAACCTTGATGTATTAGGTTGGTGCAAAAGTAACTGTGGTCTTGGGCATCGAAAATAATGGCAAAGACTGCTTTTGAACCCTCCTAATAACAATAGTAACACGATTGCTAATTTCTTTCACAGCTAGATTTATACTTGCCAAACTCGAATGCATATACAATAATACATTGATGTGTATATTATGTATACATTAATGTATATATTACATATACAAATGCATACTTTAATGTATATGTTTAAGTTTAGCAAGTATATATACATTAAAGTTTAGCAAGTATAAATATATACCTCTATATAAAGAGAGAAACACCTTAAAAAAATAACAAAAATCATTGCAGCAATAGCAAAGACACAGAATCAACCCAGGTGCCCTCAACTCTGGACTGGATGAAGAAAATATGGTATGTATACCCTGAAATACTATGCAATCATAAAAAAGAAAAAAATCGTGCCCTTGGTAGCAACATGAATCATTATCCTAAGGAAACTAACACAGAAACAGAAAACCTAATAATAGCACATGTTCTCCCTTATAAGTAGGAGCTAAACATCGTGTACATGTGGACATAAAGATGAGAACAGTGGACACTGGGAATGCAAGTGGATGGGAGCAGGGGCTGAAAAATGACCTACTGGGGTCTATGCTTGCTACCTGGAGGATAATTCATTCACACTCGAAACCTCAGCATCATGCTATATACCTTTGTAACAAACCTGCACAGGTACTTCCTGAATCTATAAGAAAAGTTCAGAAAAAAATGAACGAAGGAATGATTAGCAGAGACCTTTGGAGCGATGAGATCGGGAAGAGTGTGCAGAGGTGTTATGTAGAAGCAGCACTGTATTTCTTTGAGGAGAGAGTATACGTATCTTATTCTTCTCATTATTATCATCAAAACACTACATCTATGTTTTGTACATCTGTGCTTGCCTGTCCTTCTGAATATATCAAATGTTTCATAATTTTAAAACAGTTAAAAATAGAAAAAGTACCTGTGGGTCTATCAACATTGTCCCCATACCCCATAGAGCATCCTAAGTCCGAGCTGACGTCTGCAGGTTTCGGAACATATAGCACACATCTAAGATGTGGCCAGCGTCCCAGAGGCCCAAGGCCATTGTGGGGTGATAGAAACCGTCCAGGATGCCTGTGGCTTAACCCTGGGTCAGCTCAGATGCTGCAGCTTCGAGTCACTGTGGTGTTGCTACAGAGTCTGGGTCATCCAGGCTCCCAGGCATCCGGTGGATTTCGTGTAAAACAGAGAAATCAAATGGCGGGTAGCAAGAAATATCCATTAAATCAGTCCAGCAAGGGTTCAGCATCACACGGGCTCATGTGCAGATGCTATGGTGCAAGCGGGTTGGGACAACTTCCTACCACAGCACAGCAGCGGGACAGGCCTGCAGCGGGGTGAGGTGCTGCCCTGACATCAGGAACTCTCCATGCTGGGGGTGAAGGCTGGAAAGTCTGGATGGAGCAGCCAGAGACCCACAGTGAACGGGACCATTTCAGGGAGGCTGACAAAAGACCCAACCCTGCTTGGGCTTATTTGCTGCTATCAAGAAACCAGCGCCCAGGACCGGAGTCCACATGTGGGGAGGAAGCTCAAGCCTCTGCGCCCTGAGAGCTGAAAGTCCCAGGAATGTCAGGCAGAGACTACAGAGGTCAGGAGAGAGAAAGGAGATGGAGGCTGGATGGGTAACATCAGACACACAGCAGAGCCCACCAGGATCGTGGCTGGAGCCAGCAAGCCTCATCTCCTGAGCCTCTCTCTGAACTCCCACCCGCACCCCACATACTCCTGCATCTCAGCTGCAGACTCTGCTGCCCCAGGACCCACCTTGCAAAATTCTGGAGAGCATCCCTTCCTCCCCCTGCCCACCACCTTCTTATGACCCACCCCTGCCCCTTGAAAGCAGAAAGCCAGGGAAGTTGTGGCTGATGAGGAAACACCTACCCGAAGGAGCAGGGGCAGGTACGTGGAGCCCCCGGATGCTCTTCTATGAGGTCACACAGATACTTCAGTCCCAAAGCCTTCTGAAATGAAGAAGGGGAAATGTTTTATCTAACGCAGAGCACTGACCACCTTGCAGTCTCTAAGCAAGTGGGCATGAGAAGCTCTTTCCAGTGACTTGAGTCCCCAGATCAGGGACTGCAAAGAGAAGTGGCTTGTTGGGGGCAGGCGTGTCATGTCATTGCTGGCAGGGGTGTGGGGGTGGAGGCTGGGCAGCAGCCAGGATGGCCCTCCCTCAAGGCAGGGAGTAGCAGAAGCAGTGGGAAGGGGTGGTATGGAAACAGCCTCCCACCAAGGCACTTCTCTCACAGCCCAGGGTGTCAGGAAGGAGGAAGGACCTTTTCCCTAGGGAGACCCACACTCCCACTGCCCCTTCCATCCCCAGATTGTAGGCAGCTGAGGAAGCAGAGCAACTGGGCCACGTGGTGGCCCAGTACTGAGAATGGGAAGAAGATGGCTGCCTGAGGCAGGGCGGCGAGGGGCCGCACAGGAGCTGGGAATGGGGTGGGCTGGGAAGGCAGCCCACAGCCCTGGCATTCTGGGACAGCTTCAAAGGCAGGTGTCTGAGATCTCCTGTCTGTGGAGACTGGGTGTAGGCGGAGCAGGTGCTGCAGGGGTTAAATACAGCAATGCATCGCTTTCAAACAGGATGTTTTCTGCCACTTTTAGCTCTTCCCCAGACACGCTCAACACCCCCACCTGCACTAGGGCAGACTCTGGATCTTAGCAGCTGGCAAGGGTACCAGCAAGGAGGGACTGGCAGAATTGTACCCTTTCCACTTCCACAGACACCCAGCCCTGCTTGTCCACCTGCAGACGTGGACAGACAGACACACACACACACACACACACACACACACACACCCCTTTCCTTCTCTGATGCCAACAGGAGGTGAGCCTGGCAAAGGCCTCTAAGCCAAACCCCAGATGGGGTGTGTCTAGACCCCAGCTTTTGTCCTTCTTTGGCAACCTCTGTCTTCCAGTGGCCTAAGCAGGGAAGTAGGGGAACTGAAGGGGCTTCCAAGGCCTGGGTCCAGTCCTAGAACTGTGAGCCAGCTGAGCCCATTTGCCACCCCTTCCAGCACTGCCAGCTCCCAGGGGCATCCGGGGAAAACACCAGTGGACAATGGACCGAGATAACCTAAGTTGGGCTGGCTCACCCCCAAGAAGTGTGGGCAGTGGGAAGCATCTGCTGGGGACGGACATGCTGCCACGTGCCCTCAAGCCAAGCCCTCCTTTGCCTCCTCCATTCCCACTACCCAAGCCCCTCCTAGCTGACCACACTCTGCGGGGTTCCCCCTCAGGCCTTATTGATTCCTCAGTCTCCTTTCCTGGTGCTCGGGAAGGAGAGATGGGGGGAAGGTGAGATGGGGGCAAGGTGGGCACAGAAAAGAGCACTGCTTTCCCATCCTCAGTCCCTGTGGTTTTCAGAGGTCAGAGGTGACATCCAGGTGAACACCACCCTGGAACTTGAAAACCCATGTCTCTGGAGTATTTACTAAGCTCTGCATGCATTATTTCATTCAGTCCTCACAGCAGCTCCATGAGGCAGGGACAGCCCTGCTTTACAGATAAGCAAAGTCAGAGTTCAGAGCACTCTGAGTCACTTGCCCAGCGTCCCACAGGCAGGCAAGGGTGGTACCTGGGGCGAGACGAGGACAGGCTGATTGCAATCCCCAACTGGGTCTTTTTCCAATGACAAGCATCAGAGCAGATGCCTCCTGCTCCACACCGGGCCCTGCTCCACGTTTTTCCTATGTACTCACTCACTTCACTCTCACAGCAGCTTCCTCCAGGGGGTACTGTTATTACCCTTATCTTAAGGGTGGAAACTGAGGCACAGAGAAGGTGATTGTCTTTGGAACTGGATTTAGATCTAGGTAGCTTAGCTCGGAGTCATTTCTGCAACCCTAAGCCCTGGGCACCTTTTATTTCCACTAAGTAGGGAACAAGGCAGAAAACAATCCCCAGGTCATGAGGGAAGAACCTGGGCATTATTCTTTTCCTTCCAAGGATCTCCAGGCCAAGGGATGGCAGCCCTCAGCCAGTATCCATCCACTTTCCCAGGATTCAGCCCCTCTCAGCTGGGAAAATCCCATTCAATAGATGGGCCTCTCCTCCTCACTCAACCTTCCAGTACTGGACGGTCCTTTTAGGAGAGATAACCTAGATTCAGCCTCTTAGCCCAAGTGCAAGCTTATAGGAAAGTGGGGCAAAGACATAAGGCAGGAAAGAGGACAGGTGGAAAACTGCTTAATACCTGCCCTCTGCTACTTCACACACCCACCCCACCAGCAATTCATGTTCTGAGTACATAGAACATCCCACTGCTTTTGCTGGGACCGTCCCCAGAGCAACCGTCTCCTGACCCTGCTTTAGAAATACCAAACCCCTAGCCCTGAGCCTCGGAGAAGCAGAGGGGGAGGAGCTCTACTCTGTAGAAAGCCCCTGGCTTCCATCCCTCCAGGGCCTGCATCCCACATCAAAACCTCTGCCTGACCCTGACCCCAGTCCTGACCTTGCCTTAGCAAGAAATGAGAAGATAACACATTTCCTTCCAGTCACTGAAGCCACAACCATTGCCTCTCCTACACATCTGCCTGTCAGCCCACACCACGGGCAGCCCCATCTTGCGGCAGCTTCTGTTAAATAGGCAGTCTTGCCTATGGCAGTCTTGCAGGGTGTCAACTGCCAAGTGTCCTGGGCAGAGCCCTGGAAAGATAAATATCAAAGTCCCTTGTGGCTCAGTTTAACTCCACATTGACTGCCCACCCCCCAAGGGTGGTAAAGCTGTGTCCACTAATGTCTTTTCAAGCTCTGAGAGCATGCAACTCCAAGACTGGAATTCCCATCATGAGAAGTACTTTTTTTCTTTGTTTTTAAGAGAAAAGGTCTCCTCTGTTACCCAGGCTAGAGTGCGGTTGACAATTACAGCTCACTGCAGCCTCTAATTCCTGGGCTCAAGCAATCTTCCACCTCAGCCTCCTGTGTAGCTGGGGTTACAGGTGTGAGCCATGCCAGACAAGGAGGCCTTAAATGAGATGCAGCTTTCTCCTGGATCCCTCAGTAAGCAAATGAACCCCAACATCCATGCCTCAGTGAGTGAGTCTCACTCATCCTCAGATGCCAATGAGCAGGAAGGGCACAAAAAATGTGGCCCCTAATCAACCCCAGTGAGAGGTGGAGCCCAGGAGAGGGTCCTCTCTCTGCCAGGTTGGGACTGGAATGGTCTAAAGTGGGCTTTCTAATTGTTGACACTGTTCCAAAATTCCCATTCCTTCTAGAAAAAAATGGAAAGCCAAGAGACTTCCCCACAGAGGAGGAGACAACTCTGCTTCTTCCTAAAATTGGCACATAGAGTCAGCCACGTGCTGGCCTTTTCCAGGAGAAGATATGCTTGTGTGTCTGCCAGCCACACCACACAGGTACTTGTGCACACACCCTTGTCATGTTTCCTTACCCCCTAAACTCTGCCTCATCGAGTGCTGAGCACCCACCTGACTTTTTATTTGTCATCTCTTTATTCTGGTACATAACTCAGGCGTAACAACATCGTGGCAGCTAAGGTGATACCCTCTCTTCCTTCTCCACCGTCCCCAACAACCCACGACAATCTTGGGACCTCCCAGAAGAAGCTGACCAGGAACAGAGTGATAATAAGGGGAAGGGGAGAGGGTTTACTGTATAAATAGAACTTATCCAGACGACTTCCTGGCCCAACTGTCTCGCCCCGCTCCTTCATACACACATTTAAAAAAAAATTTTTTTTAAGTAACTGGGAAGGGAGAAGAAAAGGGAAATCTGGAAGAAAAATGGAAAAGGAAAAATTTAAGGTTTATTAACTTTTTTGAGTATTAACATTTCTGTCTCTCATCTCTGTCTTTTTTTTTTCTTTGCAAGGTTCTGTATAGCTATGGGGGGTGAAGTGAGCATTTTTTTTTTTTTTTTTTTTAGAAAAAAAGGAGAGAGGGAGAGGAAGAAAGAGGAAAAAAAAGAGGGAGAGAGGACAGGAATATTGCTTCATTCTAAAAATGGGTATTAATAATACACACATATTTTAAACATGGGTAATTATTTTCTACAGATCACAATGTTCACAGCAAAACCCAATAGATAACATTCAGCTCAGAAAATCTCAAGATTGGAAGGCAGCAACAGCACCACCTAGTTCAATCACCTTAAATTCCTTCGATAATATTCTAGTCAAACATTTTTCTAGCCCATGCTTGAGTAATTTTCCTAGTGCAGAGCCACCTCCCACGGTATCCACTCTCTTTGGATGACTCTATGCTTAGAAAGCTCTTTATCATGCACAGACAGAATAGCCCCCGTCTTTCAATGTAGTTTTCAATGGCTGCTCCTAGACAGCTCTTTGCAGCCATATTAGACAAACCTACTAGGCCATTCACACAGGAGCTCGAGAGGATGGTTCAGGGGCCACCATATGGTGCCACATGCACATTGGAAAAAGAGCCCTGGCCGGGCACAGTGGCTTACACTGTAATCCCAGCACTTTGAGAGGCTGAGGCGGGCAGATCACTTGAGGTCAGGAGTTTGAGACCAGCCTGGCTAACATGGTGAAACACTGTCTCTACTAAAAAAATTACAAAAATTAGCCAGGTGTGGTGGCAGGCACCTGTAATCCCAGTTACTTGGGAGGCTAAGGCAGGAGAACTGCTTGAACCTGGGAAGCAGAAGTTGCAGTGAGCAGAAATTGCACCATTGTACTCCAGTCTGGGCGACAAGAGTGAAACTCTGTCTCAAGAAAAAAGAAAAAGAAAAATTAAAAAGAAAAGGACTCCCTTTTTCTTAGACACAGACTTTTCTAAAACATTAAGCCCTAAGACACTTTACTTCCATCAGTCAGAAAATTATCATAAAAATAGAAAACTCTACAATGCTTACGTTGTGAGTGAAGACGAGGGGAGAAGCAGCAGCAGATCGCCTGGGCTACGCTCAGTTTTGATTTAGACCCCATCTGCTTCCCATGTTTGCTCATGATCCCACAGGAAGAGTGAGTGAG